ATACTTGGGGGACTCCTGGAAGGGCACTGAGAGGGCACAGTGGTGGGGGCAGAGGGGAGGGGAGACAGAGGCGGGCGGTGGGGGACATGCAGGCGAGAGATGGTGAGAGAGGCACCAGGGGAGAAAGACAGAGATGAGAAAGAGCGGGGGAACCTCGAATCGCGCCCCCTACCACCATTTAGACATTCGAGGTCCTCAAGCCCATCCTGGCCCCCAAACCATGTCCTCTGACTCCCTGACCCTAGACCAGTGATGGCGAACCTATGACACGCGTGTCAGAGGTGACACGCGAACTCATTTTTTTTGGTTGATTTTTTTCTTTGTTAAATGGCATTTAAATATATAAAATAAATATCAAAAATATAAGTCTTTGTTTTACTATGGTTACAAATATCAAAAAATTTCTATATGTGACACGGCACCAGAGTTAAGTTAGGGTTTTTCAAAATGCTGACACGCCGAGCTCAAAAGGTTCGCCATCACTGACCTAGACCCTATCACGCACCCCCAAGTACCCCCGGTTCTCCCCTGGGCCCAGCCCCACCCACTCACCCACGTCCTGCTCTCGATGGTTTCGAATCAGCTCCCCCAGTTCAAAATTCCCAGCAATCACTGCCACCTGGAGGGGGGCACAGGGAGGTGGGGTGGCCCAGGCACAGGGAGGGCGGGCAGGAAGCAGGCAGGTCCCCGGCTGGCTGCTCCCTCTGCCCGTCCCCCCAGACCTTCACCCCAGAAACTGCCCTTCCTCTCTCCTGGCTGGCCTCATGGCCCCACCTTCCTGACCCCTCTGAGTTCTTCACACCGCCCCGTCCCCCGCCCCCCAACACCCGATCCCACAGCCCCGGACCTGGAAGGCGGTCTGTCCATTGTTATTCTTCACGTCCTTGCTGGCCCCGCGATAGAGGAGGATCCTAGCACAGGTCTCCTGAGGGCGGGGGTCAGGGGCACAGGGTGAAGGGGAAGAAGACAACGAAGGTCACACGAGTGGGCACGGCCCCGCCCTAAGAACTTCAGACCCTGGCCGGGTACTCAGTGGTTAGCGTACCATCCCCATCCGCCAAGGGTGTGGGTTCGATCCCCAGTCAGGGCACATACAAGAAGCGAGCAATGAACGCATCCATACGTGGAACAACAAATCGATGTTTCTCTCTCTCAAAATCAATCAACCAACAAAAGAACTTGGGGAACAATGTGATGTCAGCCTGCCCTGCCCAGGACAGCAGCCACTTGCCACGTGCGGCTCCTGAGCCCTTTCATGTGGCCGAGCGGAGAGGGGCCGCGTGTCAAACACAGGCTGGACAACTCCAAGGGCTCGGCATGAACAAAATAAAGTGAGTATCTCGAATAATGTTTATGTTGATGACATGTTACAACGATAGTATTTTGGCTACAAAGGGTTAAAAAATGCAACTTAGCCCTGACCGGTTTGGCTCAGTGGATAGAGCGTCAGCCTGCAGACAGAAGGGTCCCGGGTTCAATTCCGGTCAAGGGCATGTACCTTGGTTCTGGGCACATCCCCAGTAGGGCGTGTGCAGGAGGCAGGTGATCAATGTTTCTCTCTCACTGATGTTTCTAACTCTCTCTCTCTCTCTCTTCCTCTCTGAAATCAACAAAAATATACTTTTTAAAAATAAAAAATAAATAAAATTATACCTGTGACTTGGATGGTGCTAATCCAAACCAGGGCTTCTCTCAAAACAAAAAAAAAATCCTATATAATAAAAGGGTAATATGCAAATTGACCCTAACTGCTGAATGACCAGGAATGAACGGTTGCTATGACATGGTCGCTGTGACACGCACTGACCACCAGGGAACAGACGCTCAATGCAGGAGGATGGGGCGGGCAGGAGGCAGCCAATCCATAATTCTCTCACATTGTTGGTGTTTCTATCTCTCTCTCTCTCTCTTCCTCTCTGAAATCAACAAAAATATACTTTTTAAAAATAAAAAATAAATAAAATTATACCTGTGACTTGGATGGTGCTAATCCAAACCAGGGCTTCTCTCAAAAAAAAAAAAATCCTATATAATAAAAGGGAAAAATGAAAATTGACCCTAACTGCGGAAGTTGCTATGACATGGTCGCTGTGACACGCACTGACCACCAGGGAACAGACGCTCAATGCAGGAGCTGCCCCCTGGTGGTCAGTGCGCTCCCACAGGGGGAGCTCCGCTCAGCCACAAGCCGGGCTGATGGCTGTGAGCGCAGTGGCGGTGGCGGGAGCCTCTCCTGCCTCCTCAGCAGCGCTAAGGATGTCCGACTGACGGCTTAGGGAGCAGACCTAAGCTGTCAGTTGGACATCCCCGAGGGCTCCCGGGCTGCCAGAGGGCACAGGCCGGGCTGAGGGCCCCCCCACCAGTGCATGAATTTTCATGCACCAGGTCTCTAGTAAATAAATAAACCAGGGCTTCCCCACCATCCTGTGCATCCAAGGAGGTGGAGCAGCATCCCTGGCCTCTACCACTAGATGGCAGTAGCATCCCCTCCCATCCTGACAATCAGGAGTGTCAGCAGACAGTGACAAATGTCGCCGGGTGGGGGTGAGGGGGGCAGAAGCCGCCCACCTAACCCTCACGGAGGGCTTACTACGCCGCATGCCAGGTGCTCAGCACCTCAGAGGCGGGAGCTCGAGAAATCGCCTGACAATCGCGTGAGATAGAAAGTATTGTTCCCATTTTTCAGACGAGGAAACGAAGGCTTCACACGGAGGTGAAGGTCATGGGGCTGGCGCATCAGGGTTCAAGCCCAGGTCTATCTGCCCCCAGAGCCCCTGCTCTGAATCACACGCTCTGCGAGAGCCAGAAGGAAGGGGGTGGGGCGGTTGCCATGCTGTCCATGCCCGGGTCAATTCCTTGCCCGTGTCACTCACGTCACTCTCTCTTACTCTGGGTCAAATCCAAGGTCCTTCCCTTGGCCCCAGGAGGTGTCCCCTGATCTGGCTGCCCTACCGCCCCCAGCCTCACCAAGCTCATCTTCGACCACCTCCCTTCGCTCCCCATGCCCCAGCCACCGCGGGCTCCTTCTTCCTCCCACAGGCACAGCACACGCCTGCCCCAGGGCCTTTGCACCTGCTGCTTCCTCTACTCGGAATTCTCTGCCCTGCCATCTTCGCATAGCGCAAAGATTTCTCACATCACTCGGCGAAAGCATCACTGACCACCCTGTCAAAATGAACTCTGTCCTGTTCCCTGCTTTATTTTCTTTTTTAAAAAAATATTTTTTTTATTTATTTCAGAGAGGAAGGGGGGAGAAAGAGAGAGAGAGACATCAATGATGAGAGAGAATCATTGGTCAGTTGCCTCCTGCATGCCCCACACTGGGGATCGAGCCCGCAACCCAGGCACGTGCCCTGACCGGGAATCGAACCTTGACCTCTTGGTTCACAGGTCGACGCTCAACCACTGAGCCACACTGGCCGGGCCCCTGCTTTATTTTCATTTAGACAACATCTGCTATGTCCCAGGCATGCTTTTAAGCCCATTTTAGCTCATCTTCTCCCTAACACTGTCTCCCTGAAGTCACATTTCTATTTTATTGGTCACCTTAGCATCCCCCCCACCCCCCACTACATTGTCCCTTTCCTAGGGGCTTGGTTCTGTCTGTGGCACTCACCACCTGGAACAGTGCCTGGCCCCGGGGAGCTGTCCGATAAGCAGGTGCTGAAAGAGGGACGGTCCTCTGCCTTTGCCTGGGCCTGGCCAAACCCAACCTGTCCCCGAACCCCAGCTCAACTCTCCTCCAGCTCCCCGGATACTAACTGGACCGGCGTTCACCAAGAACCTCCTCGCTCTGACCCTCTCCGCTCCACAAATCCACCAACAATGCTCGTAGGAGCCCGTCCTGCAGGACAAGTTCAAATCCATGGCCAAAGTCACACAGCCTGTTAGAGGCGCAGCTAGGACTCCAACCTGGCCCTCTAACCCTTCCACTCCTACTGCTTCTCTGTTTCACAACTCAGATGGCCCAGGCCAGTCACGGCAGAGCAACGGGTGTGTGTGTGTGTGTGTGTGTGAGTGTGTGTGTGTGTGTCTGTGTGCGCACACGCTGTCCCCCCAGCTAGTGTCAACCGCTGCCAGGTGTAAGTTCCCGTGGCTGCGCGCCCCTAGCCGACACCTTGCCTGCCTAGCACACGGCCAGAGCATCAACACCAGCTCCACCCGCTCTCCCATCTTCTCCCGGGGAACCCCGCGTTTACTGGTGTCCTAGCACGTATCTCTCAGCTCGGCGATTGTTTGTTTACACGTCTGCCTCTTTGCCAGACGGTGGCTCCCTTCCCCCTCCCAGGGCAGGCGCCATGCTGCGTCTGATTCATCTCCCATCCCGCACACAGTCGATGCTCAAGAAACAAGGCATGGCCCTGGCCGGTTTGGCTCAGTGGGTAGAGCATCGGTCGGCCTGTGGACTGAAGGGTTCCGGGTTCGATTCTAGTCAAGGGTGCATGCCTGGGTTGCGGGCTCGATCCCCAGTG